TGCAAAGTGGGTTCTCCCCTCCGGCAAGAGGCTCTTTGTGTGTGCTGGTGCTGGAGGGGTGTTCACGAGCTGCCGATGCTGTGCTGTCCACTCCACGGGGATCTGCGGTGGCTCCCGCCCCTGCTCCGCTGGGGCTGGGGAATAAGCTGCTTGTTCACCTCTCTAAATGGGAGGAGTTCAGTTCAGGCCAAAAATTTGGCCATTTTGAGCGTTGCTATTTCTGCAGCTTTTATTCTGAGCTTGGAATTGGCCCGAGGAAATGCTCAGGCACTCACCGAAGAGCAGAGTGTGGGTGTTGGAGGACAAACTGTGCCTCTGAAACGCAGCAGATGTTTGGGCTGCCACCGATGGGAATATTGCGAGTGGATGCTGGAGAGGGGCACTTTCCCATCATGTCACCTGTGGAACTCTGTGTTGTGGCCCAGCACTGAAAACGCGCAGACTGGCTTCGGTCTGGTAGTGTTCCTGTCTGTTTCCACTAAAACCAGCAGCAGCCCAGGGCTCTGCTCTCGCTGCGGTGTGCTCCATGTCCTGCGTGGGGACTGCAGCGGAACGGTTAAAACAGAAGAGAGCCTTCCCTCTCCTCCTCTCTGCTAACGATGAGACCCCCTGTACTGAGAAGCAGTGGCCAGAGAAGCCTCACGAGGAACACTGATCCGTGTAGCGTGCGTGTGGACCCCCTATTTCACTGCATTTTCTAAGCTTTTGTTTACTTGGTTTTTATGTGCAGCTCCACACATCAGAAAAGAGCCATCTCTTCCCAGTGAACCTTCAGCTGAAGGACAGACCAGACAGATTTATCGACAGTCCAGAGATGATGACAGGTCTGAGTTGAAAATACTTTTATTCTGCTCAGCTCGGCTCAGCTCAAATGGCTCTAAAATCCTGGCAAAGTTCCTGGGTTCAGGAGAGAGACCATGGATCAGCCGGGCACAGCTCGGTTCTTTCTCTCAGGCACGTGCCAAAAACATGTTTACCCAGAGTTACACTGGTGAACACGTGCCCAGACACCAGCTGGATGCCCACGGGCAGCCCCTGTACACCCAGGGAGAGTTCAGCCCCGTCCTTGAGTGCAGGCAGCGGCTGAGGTCTCACCTGTCAGCGGGGGCACAGGACGTGCTGGTGAAATCACCTTTGAAACACCAGCACGGGTGGGCATGGGGCACGACTTCCCCGCAGAAGGGAGAGGGTGTCCGTGTTTCTGAAACACAGAGGTAACCCGAGGAGAGGGCTGGAGATCTGAGCGAAGGCTGTTCCGAGGGGAAGAGGAGACTCAGTTCTCGGCGTGGGTGGTGCTGGGAACAGGCATGGCAGTGGAAGGAGCGTGGTGGGATCCCCCCTCCTCCTGGGCAGAGAAAGAGCTCGCTTACACGGGCTCTGTGTGCAGCGGTCTGGATTTGCCAGAATATTTGGAGATCCCGAGGGATGGTTAGAACAATCTGGCTCCTCCTCGCCTCGATCAGATCAGTGCGAGTAAAGTTAGAGAGGCTGAGACAAGCAGAGACAGAGATCTGCTGGGTGGTTATGAACGTGTGCCTCTTTTGTACTGTCTTTAATGGAGTTACTGCTATTAGTGTTTATTATTTCAATATTTATTAGATTTATTGTAAACTCCGTTTTGGTAGTCCACTGAAGGCATCCCAGCTCTTTGCCGTTGGTTGGAGAGCCAACCGGTGTAACTCACTGGGTGGACTCAAGATGAGGTGAAATAAGCTCGTTTTTTGCGGAGAGAGGGAGAGTCCCTGGGTGCCGGTGACGCGTCGTGAGCCCAAGGCAGACCGTGAGCCCGAGCACAGGCCGACCGTTGAAGGCTGCGGGATGCATTAGTTGCTTATGAGGCGCCTTGAGATCCTCCCGTGAACAGAGGTGCAAAATGTGACTGTTGCTTTGTTTTATGTTCTCCTGCAAAGTCTCCTCTGGGGAGAAGGGTGTGAAAGCAACATTTCCTGAGTGTTTCTGGCTGTTTATCTCAGCGGATGCCCATGCTCCTGCGGCAGAAGTCTTTAGGCTGGAGAGGAAATGTAACCGAGGGCACCAGCTAATGAAGAGGTGGAAGCGGCGTAGGGAAACGATGTGGAAGCTGAGCTGAGCAGATCTGAAGGGAGAAGTCAATGAAGGGGGCCTGCGGTCACCAGGGGGAAGGAAAGGAACTGTAAATACTGTACAAAGCACTGGAGCCATCCGATTTTTGTCAGCGTGGAAGCGAAGTGATTGCTTTGCTAACAGGATGGAGCCAGCTTTGCCAAGCAGCTTCCCCTGTGGATGCTGAGAGTTGGAAACATGTAGCATAAATTGACAAAAGGTTCCGAGTTTGGGTGTTGTTTGTTTTTCAAGGGGAAGAAAAAGGAAAAGAAAGTGCTAAATTATATTGCAGTGAGAACAAGCACCCAGTCCTTCTGGGAAATCTTCAGGATGGCAGCCAAGTGCTGCCTCATCGTGCTGCGTGTGCAAGCTGCTCTGCTCAGCCGCTGGATTTCCAGTGTTCCTTGGATTGATATAGTCAGGAGGTGGGGGGACCCCGGGGGTCTGTTGGATGCTTCAGGCGGAGCGACACTGTGAAAGTCTCAGGCCCAGGTGCTCACGTGTTCTGTTGTCTCTGATGCTTTAGTGGAGGTGTACAACTGTGCGACGGGCAGCACCGACTGTTCTCAGTGCCTGGGGAGGGAGGACCTGGGGCACCGCTGCGTCTGGAGCGAGGGCAGCTCCAGCTGCAGGCTGCACAGCGATTTCCCCCCGGCCTCGGACGTCTGCCCGGCTCCGGAGATTAAGAAGGTGAGAGCCCAGTGCAAGTGGAGGGTGCGCGCGGGCACGGCGGGTGGCGCGGAGGGCTGGAACCGGCTGCGGGCAAAGGAGGAACCGCGCTTTGTCCCTGGTGCAGGTCAGGGTCAAGATCAGCACCGAATTATTCACTGCCTTTCTGTGCTGGTGAGTCACCCAGTGCCAAGGACATCTCGCCAGTGACGAGATCCAGCCTTCGTCGTGTTAGTGGGAAAAAACAGCAGCACAACTGAAATGTCCCAGGGTTCCGAGAGTTGGTAAAAGCAAGAAAGATTTGTGGGGTCGGCTGGAGGATTCTTATCAGGAGCGGCATTTAATGGAGCGTAGCTGAAACGTGAACGTGAGCCCTATCTCCAGGCACATATGCTCTGCAGTTCTGCTGAGATTAAGAGTGGCAGAGGGACCTTTTGGCATTAGGCATTTTGAAATGAGTTTTATTTAAATTGTAGTTGAATGAATGTTAGTTGAGGGCATTTGGATCTGGAGTTCTGCTTAGCGGTGTGGTACGAGCCAACAAATCTGTCCCTGACAAGTAGCAAAGAAAGTACCTAGAGCAAAACTTCAAGTGAGCTCCCTAGGAAAGGAGATGCTGGAGAGGCAAAAGAGCTAATGTGAACATCAAAATGGGCAAGGATATGGGATTGCTCTTCTTAGGAGGGCATGTAGCGACAGCTGCTCAAAACGTGGGTGCTGTAACACTGCGTGGAGGGGCTGCAGGATCCCCATCACCCACCTCTTCCCGCTCCCCCGCGAGCCTGTCCTTCCCCAGCACGTGTCAAGGGTTATCAGCACCTCGCCAGAAAATAATGGAAGGAAACCACAGCTCAGGTCGCAAAGCATCGCAGGACATTGTTGCTATTTCCTTAGCAAGTAGTAGCTGGCAAATCCAAATGCTCCAGTCACGCAAGCACCCGCCCTCGCAGAGCCCTCCTGGGGGTGGGCAACACAGCTGGCAAAGGAGGGCACCGAGCTGGTCCGAGCTGGTGCGGGGTCCTGGCCAGCCCCCGCTGGCTTGGGCAGCGGGTGCCTCGTGCTGGCAGTGTGTGCCAGTGCCTTTGCGAAGGGAAAAGAGCTGATCCTGAGTTGGAGAGATTTGTCTCACCCGCTGAATAACGCAGCCATGCTGCCAGGGACGCCCCTCGCACGGCAGAATGGTGTCGCGCCCGGCACCTGTCCCCGCGCAGCAGTGGGGTCAGCAGCTGCGCGCTGCAAAGCCAGCGGCACCGGAGGTGGATGGGGAACAGCTTTCTCCGCCCACGGCGCCCGACTCATCCCGTTCCCCGGGGTGCTGCAGTGCTGATGTCTTGGCCACGCTTTGGACACGTTCTGTCTTGTTTTTGTGCCAAAGGGCCCCACTGTGTTCGGGACAGCCCTTACAGATGCCATGGCAGGGCTCTCCCCAGTGCACCAGTGTGTGTCTCTGGGTCTGGCTCTGCCCCAGCTTCGTTCGCAGGTGTGGTGTGGAAGGAGCGATGTTTCACCCCACGTGTGTTTGCAGCTGGAGTAATCCCTGACCAAACCCAGCGCAGAAGCGCGATGGCTTCTCGTCTGCAAAGCTGCGGCACGGGGAGCGTGGCGGTGGGCCAGCTCCGGGGGCAGCGGGAGCTTGAGGAGCAATGCTGTCCTCTTCATGGGGCCGAGCAGGCCGTGGGCGCGCGTGCAGGCTCGGGGACGGAGGCAGG